AAAAAAAAAAAAAAAAAAAAGTAAGGACAGGAAGGGTTGGTAAATGAGTACAAAATTGTAGTTGGAATAATATCTAATATTTGGTAATACAATAGGATGACAATAGTTAACAATAATTTATCGTACATTTAAAAATAACTAAAAGAGTGGATTTATAACAAAATGTTCTCAACGCAAGGAAGTGATAAATGTTTGAGGTGGTGGATGTCACAGTTACCTTGATGTGACCATTACAGATTGTACACTTGTATTAAAACATCACATGTATCCCATAAATATGTCCAACTATTATGCATCCATAAAAATTTAAAAAATGAGTGCAAGAAACTTTTGTATGATGGATATATTCATCATCAAGATTGTGGAGATGATTTACAATATGAGCATCTGCATGAAAATATAACAAATTGTACCCTTTAAGTATGTGTAATTGCATACCTCAGAAAATTTCAACAAATTACAACAGCTATGACCTGCTCTACACTACCCCTAAAAAAGAATTTAACACATCTACTGAGATGAAGAGTAAATTAATGAACTAGAAGATAAAGCAGAAGTAATATACAAAATGCAAAAAAGGAGTTGTGAAAAGATGGCAAATTATAGAAAAGATGGTGAGAGACACAACATATATGAAGAAGATTAGCGTATGTGTAATAGTTGGCCCAAAAGTATTAATAGAACAGAGTTGGACAAAAGTAATATTATAAGACATTTTGGATAAAAAATTTACAAAATTTATCAAAAACATGAAACTACACGCTCAAGAAATTCTATAAAAATCAAACAGGATAAATAAAATCAATACCCATGTCAAGAAAAATATTTAATAAGATACAAATTGGTAGATAATTCATGATATAATTTTTAAAAAGAACTGGCTTAATAAGCTAGCCCAAATAGTAAGAAAAGAAAACAAAAAATAATATAAAGAACAAGATATTGAAATAAATTATAAAGCTAAAATAATTCAGGTGATGTGGTGCTGAAATATGAATAGATAAGTAGATAGAGTGAATATAATTAAAACAGAAATATACTCAAGTAGTTTATTAGAAATTTAGAGTAAGTTACAGATGGTAACTAAAAGAATATGGTGGAGTTATTCAACAAACAGCATATGAGACAACTGTGTAGCCATATGGGGAAAAAATGTTGAAGATATACCTTCCAATTTACAACACAAGAAATTCCAGCTACATGAAAATGCAAGTGTAAATATATACTTATAAAGTGTAAATCTCACATACAAAATTCTTTTACTAAAAATGGTTTTAAAAATATTGTATCTATGTGAGATAATTACCACAAGCAAAGCCAAAAAAAAAAAAAAACCTGAAAAAATGTAACTGATGCTCATATCATATAAAAATCTAACATCACCAATATGTAAGTGCACTAACAGTATGAGACAGCAGGACTGGTTGCTACAAAAGCTCCATTGGACCCCAAATTACAGTGATTACAAATCTACAGTTTATTACAAGAGAAGGATACATTTTAGCAACAGCATTAGAGTAAGAATATGTGTCAGCCAAAGTCTGTCTCACAAGAAGGGGCCTGGAGAGTTCAGGTGCAAGCACCCTTCCTTGCTCTGTAAGTGTCCTATCAGGACACAATTTCTCTCTTGGATCAGGAACCACCAACATGCACATAGGATACCTTAGTACCAAGGAGCCCAAAATGGATTCTCAGTTGGGGATTGTTATAATCTATGAATATTTTGCTGATCACATAAGCATATTCTGCTAAGGAACCAAGCTCAGCAGAAGCATTTTCTCAGGGTCTCCTAATCAGGGCAAAGCATCAATAATATTGTCTTCAATAATCACTGCTAACAAACTAGTATAATCTGGCCCCCAAATTCTCAGACCCATGAATTCAAAGCTACGCTGTAAATCCGTATGTCTCTTGCCTTGTTTAGAGGTCAGTGCTACGTGGGAACTCTAGAAACACTGCTCAGGGTGATTCTAAGTCTGCCTAAATTAATTGTAATAGCACAGTAAGACAATAAGGAAAAGACTAGAAATGGGGAAAAATTATAACAGATATACTCATACACTTCACAGAAAAGGAAATACATCTAACTTTTATATATACATATGAAAAATTTCAGACTCAAACAGATAACTGCAAATCATATGATACTGAGATACCATTTATAATAACATTTTTGGAGGATAATTTGGAAATACCTAATACAATTCAAATGCACACAAACTTTGACCTAGCAACTTATTTTACAAATATACTTGCACATGTATGAGATTATGTATGACTAAAGTTTTTTTATGCTGCATTTCCTTCTGTAGCATAAAAAGATTACAAATAATCTAAAAAGCAATGGAAAATTACTAAAGTCAATCATGATGCCCCCACACAATGGGATCCTAAGAATGAGAAAGCTCTTTATGTGCTGACATGGAACTCTGTCCAAGTGTATTTTAAGTGACAAAATAAAAGGTGCAAAACCATATAAACATATTTTTACCATTTATATAAAGGGGAGAGAGGGAATTTTATATTTATGAGCTTTCATTTGTAAAATTTCACTTCATTTATAAAATCCAAGATATCTCTCAAGAATAAAAAAGAAATTGGTAAGCCTGGCTGCTTTGAGGAAGTGAAATTGAGTGAATAAAGAAACAGGGTTGCCTCGGTGCGGTGGCTCACACCTGTAGTTAGTACTCTGGGAGGCCGAGGCAGGAGGATTACTTGAGGTCAGGAGTTGGAGACCAGCCTAAGCAAGAGCAAGGTCCTGTCTCTACTTAAAATAGAAAACAATTATCTGAACACTGTGGTATGCACCAATATTCCCAGCTACTCTGGAGGCTGAGGCAGGAGGATAACTTGTGCTCAGGAGTGGGAGGTTGCAGTGAGCTATGATGACAGAACTGCACTCTAGCCACTGGGGTGACAGAGTGACACTCTGAAAAACAAACAAACAGGGTGGTAAAGAAACATATTTCTCTGTGTATCCATTATAGCTTTTGATTCTTTAACAATCTAAATTTTAAGCAAAAGCCTAAAATAATGCAAATTCAAGTCTCAAAAATAATCAGCACTTTGCGGTTGTCTTTAGTCTGTGTTGAAGAATTATTCTGTTACAAAATGTAAGTATCTTGTTAGAAATGATTTCTGTTGTTTGAAGTGTTCCAGGTGTCCACTCTTGCAATGAAGCAGCAAGAAAAGCTCATGCAACAGGACAGAGCATTGCTAAACTTTACACAGTGGAAGAGAAACCCTGTCCTTCAGATGAATTATTGCCAAACCTTGATGCAAAATTCTTTCAGCTCAGGTAACTGATATGAAATAGGTTTCCACTGTGCAGATTCAAATGTACACATCAACTCCTCAAAAGAAATAGTGACACACTTTATTCTCTGCCAAATTGTTAGCCAGGATTTTATATTAGGAGAGACATAATTTGATCAGTTCAACTTTATTTATAAACTCCAATAGTATACATGAAAACCACTCAGGTTCCCAAAAAATGCATCTTAAGAAAATATCAAATGCTAAAGTGCTATGTGTGCAATTAGTACGTCAAATTTTAAAAAATCAAAACTATCCAGTCACCCAAATTAGTAAGTATATTTTTAAGCCTAGCTCCAAATTTCCCAATATATTTAGTTTAGACATTACTTTAGATTCAAGTTTAGATAACTTTGAGAAGAAAAAATCATTTGAAAATGAGAGTATTTACCATTAAATTATTATAACAATGCAGGATTCATCTCTTTTTAAAAATTCTATAGTTATTCCAGTTTAATTTTTATATTCCTTATAAGCATTTTAAACCATAAACAGTCTATTTCTACCTATTGTTCTACCTGTTTGTCAAGTATCCTATGGTTACTTAATTAGCATTTATTTATACTTGTACATATAATTTAGAAAATTAACTTCCTTGTAGTAGATGCCATTTACACAATAACTGCTAATGAAAGAGACCAAAAATCTACTCTAGTTCCTTCTGACTGAAATTTAATCAAGTAAATGTTTGACAAACTCACTGTGTGGCCCAACAATGTTTTTATATTTAGCAGGCTTTTGCAAGCTTGAGTTAGGCTCATCTCTGAGGCACCAACCTTGAAAACATTGACAATATCCACTGTTTTCTCCAAGCCCTCAGATATCATCGTCAATGTTATTTATGGTATAAATTTAATTATGTTCAGGATGCTTGTTAGCATGGATGCCAAACAAAGGATATTAAAGAGCCCTAAAAAATTCAACAGCTGGGCCATGGAAACTAATACTATTTCTTACCCTAAATAGAAGGACTCTCTCTAAAAACCAGAGTTCTGGAAGTTTCAGTCCTTCCCTTTATAAAAGTGTGCCAGAGCCACTTGGTCAAACTCTTGGTCTTTGATTCACCTTTTATACATTTGATCATCCTTCTTTTGTGAATACATTTTTTCTTAAGGCAGGTTCTATAAAACTGATTAAAAATTAAGGCTTACTTATTAGAGTCCTAAAATAATCATGTTGTTCATTGATATTCTTCTTTGATTTTCCTTACCTACTCGTTTTCAAATCACTCCTTAAGTAAGGTACATTATTTGTTTTTTCCATTATATATGAAATATTTTCTTGTTTACTCTCAGAATTTAAACATTAACTTAGGACTTTCTACTCAAACCATCAAATAGTCCAGGATATTTCCAGCTAAATTGGGGCAGTAAGATTAACAGATATAAAACCATAAGCAAACAAGTGAAGACTGTAAATGTTGTGAATTCAAAGAAAGGAAAGATTAATAAAATCAGAATAATCAGATAATTTTTATAGAATAGAAAAAATTCAGGTAATTTTATCCCCAAATTAATTTTATTTTAAAGTAATTTAAAGACTCATTGCAGGTAGAAATTACTATATAAATTTTACTGTATTCTGCTTCAGAGAAACTGAAATCGGTAAGGGCTACATCATGTGAACCATTCTATTAAAGTGTTCGGTTTCTCTAAGGGTGATGTAAGGGGTTATTTGGGGAAAATACGCTACTGATATTTTACAATGATAACAAAGAAAAATGTTTGTATTTAAAGCCTGTAATTGCAGCCCTTGTCCAGACAACTGGATTCACAATGGAGAAAGTTGTTACTATGTATTTGAACAATGGCAAACGTGGCATACCAGTAAAGAGAAATGTTCAAAGGCGGGTTCCACACTTCTACAAATAGGCAGCAAAGAAGAAATGGTAAACACTGTTTTATGGTCTCACATTATTCTGAAAATACCATGTCATTTGTTAAAAGAAAGCATAAATTCTCATCAGATAGAATTCCTTAATGGTCTATAACAGTGGTATATTTGTTAAAAGAAATAAAGTGGGAATTAGTATAGTTTGTTTTCCCTTTCATAAGAGAAACATAAAAACAGTATGGTTATTTAGAAATCGAGGATACTATGTTAATTCTATGTCTTTGGTCAATAAAATAGTGTTGGGAATAAGAGAATAACGTTTTCTGGCATGCTAATCCACTCCAAGATATATGTGCATTACAATTGCATATATGTTTTAAATGTATTATTTTCAATGCTGTAAGGAAATATAACCTACTAGTCTTGTAATTATTAAGAAAAAATAGGCCGGGCATGGTGGCTCACGCTGTAATCCTACCACTCTGGGAGGCCGAGGTGGGTAGATCACTCGAGGTCAGGAGTTCAAAACCAGCCTGAGCAAGAGCGAGACCCCGTCTCTACTAAAAATAGAAACAAGGCTGGGCGCGGTGGCTCACGCCTGTAATCCTAGCTCTCTGGGAGGCCGAGGCGGGCGGATTGCTCAAGGTCAGGAGTTCAAAACCAGCCTGAGCAAGAGCGAGACCCCGTCTCTACTATAAATAGAAAGAAATTAATTGGCCAACTGATATATATATATAAAAAAAAAAATTAGCCGGGCATGGTGGCACATGCCTGTAGTCCCAGCTACTCGGGAGGCTGAGGCAGAAGGATCGCTGGAGCCCAGGAGTTTGAGGTTGCTGTGAGCTAGGCTGACGCCACGGCACTCACTCTAGCCTGGACAACAAAGCGAGACTCTGTCTCAAAAAAATAAAAAAAATAAAAAAATAAAAATAGAAACAAATTAATTGGCTAACTAAAAATATATAGAAAAAATTAGCCAGACATGGTGGTGCATGCCTGTAGTTTCAGCTACTCGGGAGGCTGAAGCAGAAGGATCGCTGGAGCTCAGGAGTTTGAGGTTGCTGTGAGCTAGGCTAACCCCATGGCACTCTGTCTCAAAAAAAAAAAAAAAAAGGAAAAGAAAAGAGAAGAGAAGTATAAAAACTGGGGTGATGCCATGAAATGGATAGGTCTATAAAAATAAATATTTGCCAAATGAAATATTTAATTTGCATTAAACTGAGTTTACTAACATCTTAACAAGTGAACAAGATGTTTCTGTGATACCATTCTACCCATAAATATCTATGAAATAGGATGCATAACTATACATTTATTTCTGATCCTATGAAAAAGGTATACTTATTATATTCAGTAATTAGTCAGAGTTCATGTCTACAAGAATAAGGAGAAAACAATTTGTTAAAGGTGAGCAGTAAACCAAGAAGACTAGAACTAAATTATTACAACTATGGGTTCAAAATATTATTTTCTGTGAAAACTTGATGACAAAAACTAGAAATGTTTCTTATAACAAAATGTGTTTACAATTAAGTTTCTTCTGGACTCTCCTAAACTATTTCCCATATGGAAGTATACCAGATTGTGTGGTCTATGATATCAAAGATACGTTTACTTCTGACTTCTGATAATGAAGGTTTAGTATAACACTTACCTTTTTTTTTTTTTGACAACTACTATCTGCCAGACTCTCAATCTGCTAAAACAATACTAATCCCAGTTGCCTGTTGTTTCCATAGTCCTCACCACCACACTGATTATATAGCACTAGAAAAGTCTATAAAATGTACCCTCACTTTTTAAAATAAATATTCTCTATCCAACTCTCAAGTTTCCATTAATTTCTAGCTAGGCAAAATGTCATACTTTATATTTCACTGTAGTTCTTTTGTTTGTTTGTTTTTCTCAGTTCATGGTTCAGGCCTTGTTTCTTACAGGATTTTATCACTGGCGGCTTGAAGAAGATCAAAGGAAGCCATCCTTACTGGGTGGGGCTGTCCCAGGGTGGACCCAGCAGCCCTTCCCTTTGGCAAGATGGCTCTGCTCCTTCCCTTGACCTGTAAGTCTCTGAGGAAATGTTACAAGAAAAATGAAAAACATGAGGGAACTCAAAAGTGTATTTTACTTTATACCTTACATTTCCTCCAGGAGGCATAAGTAGTTTGATAATTTTACAGAATACTGACTGGAATTAAAGTTAACATAATTAAGAGTAGCTTGAAAGCTTCTAAATCTTTCCCCTTCTCAGCCCTGCTGTTATCCTCTGGAAAAATCAAACCAAAATTTGACTGAATGAACAATGTGATTATTGATCACATTCTGTTTGTATCACTTAATGTCTAGAGAGTGTTAAGGAAAAGAGATTGGAGTAACATTTTTTTCTTTCTTTTCTTTCTTTTTTTTTTTTTAAATACAGGGTCTCCCCTTGTCACCCAGGCTGCAGTTCAGTGGCCTCAGCATAGTTCACTGCAGCCTGGAACTACTGTCTCAAGTGATCCTCCACCTCAGCCTCCAGAGTAGCCCATGCCACCATGCCTGGCTAATTTTTTTTTTTTGTAGAGACTAGGGCACCTCACTATGTTGCCTCAGCTGGTCTCTCACTCCTGTCTCAAGTGATCCTCCCGCCTTGGCCTCCCAAAGTGTTGGGATTACAGGGATGAGCCACTGTGCCCAGCCTGGAAGAACTATTACGCAATTTCCATATAAAGCTTTTCAGATGAAACTGGGAAGATTAGTGAACAGAATCAGGTGCCCTAGTATTTTGGGAATTAAGAGTCAGGAAAGAGGTTCTAATTTAGAATGGAGTTTTTTTTATGTGCTGTTTGTTCACATTAACATTTTTTTATTGAGAGAACACAGCTGTTACTGAAGGAGAATGAAACCACCATAGGAAGGTGTCATATTAACACAAAATAAAGCAAAGCAAAAAACTACACACCTCTCACCAGTTTCCCACAAGGGCATCACTATAATTCCCAAATCTAACCTCAGAAACACTAACTTGCCTTTGCAGGTTGCAAAGAGAGAGATTCCAATCAACTGATAAGGTTTGTGGATACCTCAAAGACAATTCCCTTTTATCAGCTAACTGCAGCTCTTGGAAGTATTTTATCTGTGAGAAATATGCATTAAGATCCTCTACATGAAAGAAATGGTGCTCAAAGTGATCTTTTACTAATATTTGGAACAGACCATTGGAAAACTCGTCACAAAAAGCGGAAGAGCAAGTACAGAAGTAAATCAATGTGTGGACAATGAAACTAGCTCCTTGGGACTCAAATTTGCTTTTGCATTTGCACTTGGGAATATTCTTCAATACTTTCTCGATTTCATTTGACATGGTTCAAAATTCCAAGAATAAAATTGATTTAGAGCTACTGAGGACAGAACCTTGAAGAGTTGAGAACAAACTGAAGGAAATCACTTTTATTTTTTTTCAGTCCAGAGTAAATGTAAATGCCACCCAGAAATCTATAAGTCACTGGCGGAGGTTGTGTGGTTCCAGCTGATTGATATTTTTTTAAATAAATAAATAAATTGGGCTTTTTTTTTTTAGAATAGCTTTTTAAAATTTTTTTTATTTTAGCGTATTATGGGGGTACAAGTGTTAAGGTTATGTATATTGTCCATGTCCCTCCTCCCACCTCGAGTCAGAGCCTCAAGTGTGACCATTCCCCGAACGCCCATTGTCTTTCCTGTGTATTTTCTAGACTTTCAGACAATATGTTATCCGACTGACAGAATGGGGGAACAGAGATATGGACTTCTAAACTGGGAGGAGAGTAGGCTTCTATGAGCAGACTGTAAGACAACATCCTTTTTAGGACTTCATGATTCTACCAGAGAGATAAACTATTAGAATTTCACACAGGTGAAAGAAAAAGTTAAAATGCCAGTATCAGTGTGTCCTCCATGAAAGGACAACTGTGCCCTTTTACTGACCCTCTTACTGACCATCCTCACCACTCAAATCAAAGGGCTTATGGTCTGGACTCTCAAGGTTAACACTCCAGCACTTTTAACTGCATCTCTCAATGCCTCAGTTGTCTCATTGTAAAATAATAGGACTTCAAAATATTGTTCGGGGATGACACTATAGATATATGTAAGTACTGAGACGTGTCTTGCACAGAGTCCAACAGTCTGTCAGTGCTCAATATGGTACATCACCAGTCGCCTCTAGGCATCAATCTTATTTGTGAATTCCAGGTAAAAATGATCCCTTTTTCTGCTCGTGTTACAAGGATATGGAGAAGATAAAGTTTACATGTAAAATGTCATCAACTCTCTGGAGAGAGTATCTGTTTTAAAGTTAGCAAATCCTCTTCAAGTAAATCTATAAGTAAATCAATAGACAATCTCCGTCCTAGGTTTGTAAGCTCCTTGAAACATGGACTATCTTGTTCCCAAGAGACAGTTAATATGAAAGTACCTTGTCATCTACAGGAAGAGAAGATTCCCTAACTATTATTATTATATTACTTTTATACCACTAATTATCTCTAGGAACAACAACTTATCATATATTAGATCCTCAATAAATATTTGCTTGTTCAGTATAATTTAATACTTCATTTCTCACAAGGAATAGCTGACATAACATTAGATTATCATCTTTTCTTACTGAGAATGAAGGCATCACTTAAATAATTAAATTAAAAATAAAACCCAATTCGCTGAGACAGTGAAAACTATTTAAATGAAACTAAAAGTCCTTTTACCTAAAGGTCTTTCTACAATGAGTAAGGTCCTGTAAGAATGGGAAGCACATATTTTTTCTGTATTTACCTCTGACTTAGAATTTAAATGATGGGAGTTTCAATAAAAGACATTTTCTCTAGGCTTTTTTTTTTTTTTTTGCATTGAACCTGTAAAAGGAGAATAGCAGAGAAGACACAGTACAAGTTGTCTCCTGTGTTTAGTTTTTACAGCTGACAGCTGGCAGCTGAATATAATATCCAGGAATAGAGGAGAAACAATAACAGTTTTCAGTAGTAAAGACTGTTTGTCTTCAAGGTTCTTCAAAGCATTGTCATGGAACTATGTTTGAAGAAAGGATAGGAAGCATTTATAATTCTTCTTTAAAAAAAGTACAATGAAGCAAAAGGCAAACATCCTTCAGCTGATGTCATCCCACCAATACACGATGCAGTATTTACAAGTTAGAATTTTATCTGCAGTGCAGCTGATATCCACTCCTACCAATTTCCTCAGCAGCAATACCGCTTGCCACAGAAATGCTGTGGGTGGAAGATTTTCCCTGCACGTTGTTTTTGGCCCAGCATATCCAGGCTTTTAAAAGGCAGTTTGCACAGGGGTAACCAGTTTTATATACTAGTCCCACCAAAAATGATTTAGTTATCTTTGATCCATCTCATTGAGTTCCAAGTTAGCTTTCGAAAAGGGAAAAGAAAAGAAAAAAAAAAAAACTGTCCTACAAATGCCAAGAGGCTTTGTTATATGGTAAGGTTAAAGCATGTTAAATGTATAGAAAGAACAACATTAGAATAATAATATTGATAGAATAATAATAGATATTATTAGTCTAAAAATTCATTCATACAATGAACCTTGTACAAAAGTCATGCACACTTTAAATCAGATTATGTTGCTATGTGTATTCTTCAGAAACTACAAGAATCCCTTTACAGAGCATGTGACTTACAAATATTAAGGCCAGCCTTGAGACAACCCACTAGACTCTTCTACTTAGTTTATAATCTGCTTGCATCCCCAAAATAAAACCTCCCCATTACCCTTCTCACACTTCCTGCTGCTACAGGGATCATGACCTGTTTCCTGTTGATAAACCCTGAGAGCTTGTTCAATATCCTCAGGAAAAGAAATAGCTCACTGTGTACCCTGGGGAATTCAGCTCTACCAGGAAGGCTGTATTCCTCATTTGACTTTTCCTGCAATTTCTTCACAATTACCTACACAAACAAGAGCCTAGAAGGGAAAAACATTCTCGTGTAAAAAAAAAATTATGTGATGCTCATCTCTGATTCTCAACTGAATGTTGTGCTCAGCAAATCAGGTTTTAAAATTCATTTTATAATTACTTCCTATTCTTAAAAATGAAAATGAAAAAAAAAAGTTCTTGGAGAGAATGTGATGCCATACTCCCTTTCTATTGTTTTGAAATTCTTGTTCATATTGTAACAATATTGTGAGTTTTGTTATACAGACAAAGGAATTGAAGGCAAAGAGGAAGAGAAATAAACTCGAGAAAATAAAGTACATAAAATAAATGCCATTTTTTTTCCTTCTCAGCATTTAAAGTGGCATTTTTCCTTAGCTCCCAGATTTGGAGTGAGGATACTATTCAACATTCACTCTCCAGGTAGATAGACTCTTCAAAGCAATGGTACTTAAAGAGACACTTGTCATCCCTCCCTGAGCTAGACTGTAATTACATAGGATACTGGGAGTCAAAACTTAAATGAGTCCACATTATTATTTACAACTTAGACCACAAAAATACTTGCTTTCTCATGTTAACCGTATTTTCTTTCTGCAGCAGCAAGGCTTAAATATCAATTGCTTAACTACAGACTTAATACTCATTTCTTGTTATGTAGCTATTAACCACTTTCATTGAAAATCTGCATTCTTCATAGAAATATTTGCTAATAATATCCTTAGCTACCCAGTGTAGATACACCCCTCTATAATTTGTTCCTAAACACAGATCTCTGAAGAAGGTTATTTATGCTTATTTGTGTTCCCCTATGTTTAAAAATGAATCACTAAATACTCATTTTATATTTTCTTGACATCCCTTACATTTTATATTGTAATTTATATTATGAAACTAATTTCACATTTACCTCATTTCAACTAACAGTAACATTAGGGGGAAATTATAAATATTTCCCCTTCACACTTAATGAAATAAGCTCCACGAAGTAAAGTGATTTGCCCAATAAGTAAATTACAGGTCCAAAACCCTCATTGTCTGCCAACAAATGCAGTTCTTTTTTCATGACACAAAAAAATCAACAAATTTGTTCCATACTGAATTTTTTAACCAAATAAAAAAAAAATAAAAAGAAAAATTTCAAAGAAAAAACCGCAAAGAAACCTTGCCAAAGGAAAAACCTAACTGAAAGCCTAAAAGAAAGCCTAAGAAAAAAAACAACAAGAATCCTTTTAACAAGAAAACCAAACTTGGCAATTCAACGGGAAAAAAAAGTTAACGAAAAAAAAACGAAAGAACCCAAGTTCCAAACGTAAAAAAAAAAAAATTAAAAAAAAATAACCCTTCCAAGGGTAAAACCCCAAAAACGAATTAACCAAAAAACAAAAAAAGCAAGGGGTGCAAAGGTGCCAAGGGCAAAGAATCCCGGTAAGGTTAGGCAAAAGGGGCATCGCCAAAAAGAAAGCCATGCACAAGGAACCAGCTAACCAGAACGCACAATCACACCGTCACAAACAATGACCCCGACGGAAACCAAGTGCACTACTCAACCACAGGTTAATCACAAAACATAGCCCGAAAACATAAAATTGCACGGAAATATTAAAACTAACCGAAGGAAGAAAACAAACATCTTGAAGACAGCATAAATGTTCAAAAATAATCAAATAATCACAAATAACCCAAAAATCACACACAACATAAGACACAAACAATCAAAACAATGATTGCTATCACGATTTGAAAAGCATTCCCATGCTGAATTTTTCCCTGGGTCACAAATCCATTCTAAAATCATGTACTTCACAGTATTTACATTTATTATTATTAAATCTTAAGTACCTGAAAGATATAAATATGGATCAAATGGAAGAGAACAGGAACTAAAAGCAAACTATCACAGGTGCACATTAAGAAACTGAATTTTTCTGGTCTTCTGTCTCTCTGAAAGAAGTATTGGGGACAGTAATTCTGATATGGAACTGCGTTGAAATATTTCTTTCCTGGAAAAAATTCCTATGGAAAGGAGACAATCACTGGAGTCTTAATGGACATAGGGAGGCACGTTTATAACACTCTGAGATTCTCACAAGAGATATCCCAGTTGGGATACAGGCCATGGACATAGCAGATGGGGTTTTTACTGAGAGATTGGGAAGGGAAAAGTATGAACTGAAACAAAAAGAACTTCTTGTGTATTTGGTAGTACAGTCTGGGAAATGACTGCTAATTTCCCATGGATTTCTTGACTGTTGGGACAAAGGATGTTACTTCCATTTATTTCTCCTACTTCAAAAAGTTTCTCACTTCTCCAAGTGTAAGGACCATGTAGAAACAGGGACATGATACTAGATGCTGAGAAGAAAGAAAACTAGAAAGTTAACCATAAGTCGAAAGGTAGATTACAATATGATAATGATCTGGAACCAGCTGGTGGTAATAAATAGGACTTCTTGTGACTGGTAACCCAAAGTCAGAAATGCTGGTGATCCTGAACAGGACACATGGGAGCCTTTCTTGTACTAGCTGAGAGACTGTCTTTCCTGACGATTCTTTTCCAAGGTCTCAAGTGTCCCCTGCATCGACCTTGCCTGGCTCCACTCCTTTGTTGGCAGGTGCAGCTGAAGAGTGGATCACCTCCATCCGAGGGCTCAGGGAAGCTAATGGAGCCTCTCTGGCTTCACGAGCGCTGCCACCCGCTCACAGGCACACCGCCTCAACTCCCGGCAGTCCTTTGAGAACGCCTTTCCGTTGAGGATGGTCACACAGTCCCTGTTTCTTGGAGTGGTGACATCTATTACAATATCGAACCTTTAAAAAGAGGGGAAAAGTTAATTTAATCAACATTTATTTCTAAAATGAAATAGCAAGTACCCAAAAAGTATACGGGAGTCTGCCTAGGATGATATTTTTTCCCATTTATTTTTTATTTGTACATGTTTGCTACATTGATAAACTGCATTGTGAGTAAGTCAAAGCCTTCAGTGCATCCATTACTGAAGCAACACACATCATACTCTCCAAGCAACTTCCCTAGGGTGATAAAATTACAGAACAGATGCCCAGAGTGAGTTTACTGGGAACATAGGGTCACAAGTGCTTTCTTTTCAGAAAGAAAAGAAAGTGCTCAATTTCCATATTCATTCTTAGAAACAAGTCACTTAAAACAACAAAAATCATTTCTAACTAAAACTAAGATACATGTTCTAATCCAAACTTACATGATTTTTCTACCATGAAAAAAGTTGTTTACCTCCTCAGTTTATTTAACTAACATACATTTATTACAATATAAATGATTACATTGAATATGTCCTGTCAATATGCCCTGTCTCCTGGGAGAATAAATGTTATATGGCATATATGGAAGAAAAGTGTCTGTTGAAACATGACTTTAAATGTAACATACTTTGATACAGAAATTACATTTTCTTATTTCAGAGGATGCCCTTGCATATTCCTATCTCAATACCCACATCATAAATAAAAACTAGTGTTTTATAATATTGCTGTTTATATTGTCAGCAAATCTATTCTCAGAGACTGTATTTTTAAAGATGTACTCTCTATTTCACTGCATAGAAAGCCACAAAATCTAAGGTCTTATCCTATCGCTGGGTATTGACAAGTTGTATGACCTTAGGCAACCACCAATATGACCTGAGCTCCTGGGCTTTGTTTTACTCATCCATAAAAAGTCTCTCTCTCCCCTTCTCCCCCACCTCATTCACAGTGAATCTCAGACACACACTTCTAAAAGCACCAAGAGAACTGTCCCTGATATTTTAGTAATGCTATGTATCTGTCTCCCTCACTGGTTGTAAGCCGTTCAAGAGTGAGTATTATGGTTCAAACATCTTTGGACATTGTCCTGCAAACACAGTATCCAGTACAAAGCAGATGTCTGATTAGTGCTGGCTGAACCAAATTGTTGAACCCTACCACTCAAACAAAATCTCTTTAATAAATGCCTTTTCCATAAAATGTCCTGAAGGCTTACAGTTCAAGAGAGTAAGGGGATCCATCCATCCACAGCCAGGCCTTGTCTCTGCCGTTGCGGGAAAGCCCTGTCCAATAAGAGTAGAAAAACTCAGAGTAGCTCTGAGGCATGGCAAACTCCTGTGAAAGGCACATAAGAAAACCTTGAGCTTTAAAGGTGTTATTACATACGTGTACAGAGATGTGCGGGGCCAGCACTTTTCATAGAAGAATACACGAATCCTGCCTCACACAGATGATAGTACATGTAAGAGAAAAGGCATTTGTGCTGAGGTCAGTTAGAAATTTGTCCAGGTTGAACTTATTTTGTCTCAGAAAGTATGGAATACACATCGATATTCTGAAACCAGGAATCATATTAACTAAGATTTATCATACATGACATTATTTACAAGGCACCGTTAACACTAAGACTGATACAAAAAATATGGGAGAAACATTTATAAAGAGATATGGAGTGATTCTTGGAAATGGAAGAATCTGGAAGAAAAAGTGCAGGAATGTAGTAGTATCTATTACAAATATCTGGCAAAGGAATTGACTGGGAGTGAGAAAAGAATAGTGAATGTACTTTAAGGCAAAAAAAGAAAAAGTAAAAGAAGGATTTGAATGGATGATTCATGTCTCACCCTAGGAAGGGAAGGAAGAGAAATTTTTAAATTTTCATATATAGTATAATATGCACACATATCATGCTATACATGACAATTCCTTTTCTAATATCTACACTGAACATAAATCCACATTTAAAAGGTTATTTACTTCCTTCTATTTAGTCGTACTCTACACTCCTGATATCTTTAACATAGAAATTACCTAAATTTATCATAATTATCCATTTTTATGTCTTTCCTTTTATCATACAATGATTTGGACAAGGACATGTGCTTGGTTTTATTGTTATGTCCTCAACCCCTCAGATAATTAATGCTATATATGGATTCCATAAGAGATATTAGATATATAAATAAAATGATTACTAAGCAATCATTGTAGAGTGGGTAGGTGAAAAAAAACTATAGTTAAAAATACTGTTTCCAATTAAAGGGGACCTCTTCAATTTAAAAGTTCTGAAAATAAATTATATGAAGATGATTTTAATATATACAAATATATGAAGTTTGTGAGAGAAAATAACCATATAGCTTTCACAACAAAATTTCCTACCATTGCACATAGCGTAGTTCAATAATATACCTGAGTCCTCAGTATGTGCTGGAGGCAGAGGGAACAAAGAGAATAAGAAAAATTAGGAAAGTTTATGCCAGGACACATTGTCTCAAACAAATTGTTTCCTTTTATGCCTAAATTGAGTTATCAATTAAGGGTAAAAAAATATTTTAGTAGATGAGAGAGACTGCAGAGGTTCATTGATCACAGATTTCAGGAAGTAGATAGAAATTTAGATGTAACTGCAATAATGTTAAGAATTTATATAGTGAGCTGGGCATTTAATTCAAGTAAATAACCCATTGTTGATAACCTATTCTGTACAAAAATCTCTGATGAATTCTAGGAAAACAATGACATACAAGTAATGACCACATGGTTTACGAATTCAAACCAAAGGAAATTATAAATATGAGAGAAAGGAGAATAATCACACCATTTTAATAGTATACTTTAATTGTATGTATTTAACATGTCAATTTGTAATTTTATTGGCCTTAACTAGTCTATCTTAAGCTGTAAAAATACATATTTGCTGATTATGGTAATGATTTAATTTAATATTTTTCAATTTAATGCTATGTCACTTTTATACTGGAAGAATGGGCAGTAGTATTTTGATCCTTCTGACACTGTATTTGTTCTCTTCCCACCCAAACCAAAAGAAGTAAGAAATGAAGGCATTCTCCATTTGCTTTCCAACTGAGGGAGACATTTGAAAAGATTTTTCTCATGTTTATAAAGGGTGGGTATTTGTGGAGAACATAACTCCTTTTATATACTTCTGGGGATCATTCAAAGCAGTAGACATAAGACCTGGGTCTTCACTGCAGTAAGTGGGAAATCTGTGGACCAATACCCTTGATCCTTAGAGTCTTGCCTAGCTCCTTTAAGACCTCTTGCTGAGCATCCTTCAAACACTGAAAAGCCTCAGGGTCTTACCAGCACTTCTTGTGTGTTTATCTTCAGCATGGTCGAGTTCTCAGCAATGCAGAAATGTTCACAGCCTTGCCAACTTCTACTCTCTTTATAGAACTGGTAGCATTTATCTTCATGCCATTTCCATTTTTCTGGGCAAGGGCTGCACCTGTGGCCTTGGAAAGAAACCAATTTTACCCAGGTCTGCTATGTTTCCTCTCTTGAAATTATATAGTATTTGATGTCTCAAGAAAAAAACTGATTCCCTTTCTGTTAGATATTTAATTAATTGCCCAAGCAATGATAACTATAAATATTTACAGAAGATCCAATATATGCCATAAATTATAACTGGTGCTGAGCATATAGTAGAAATTAAACAGAAACTAACTGCTTATACCTAGTATGATAGGTAATGAATGACTGGAACTTCCTCGCCATTCACCTATGTAATACAGCACATGAAGAAATTATTCAACTTCATAAAGCTGTACATATGTTCGGAAACTCAAAATGCATTTTATTCAAAAAACAAAGCTTCTAAAAATTTGCTCTTCAAACTCCTCTTATAAAACAGTAAAGGGATTTTTAAACCCTTTCCTCTGTGGAAAGCAGTGGAGATACCTCAAAGAGCTACAAGTAGATCTACCATTTGATCCAGCAATCCCATTACTGGGCAACTACCCAAAAGAACAAAAGATATTCTATAAAAAAAAATCTACACTAGAATGTTTATAGCAGCACAATTCACAATTGCAAAGATGTGGAAACAACCCAAGTGCCCCTCAATTCACGAGTAGATTAATAAAATGTGGTATATGTATACCATGGAGTACTATTCAGCTTGAAGAAACAATGATGATCTAGCACCTCTTGTATTGTCCTGGATAGAGCTGGAACCCATTCTACTAAGTGAAGTTATCTATCACAAGAATGGAAAAACAAGCACCACATGTACTCACCATCAAATTGGTATTAACTGATCAACACTTAAGTGCACTTATAGTAATAACATTTACCAGGTATTAGGCAGATAGGAGGTGGGAGGCAGGGATGGGTATATACACACCTAGTGGTACACACTGTCTGGGGTATGGACATGCTTGAAGCTCTGACTCAGGTGGGGCAAAGACAATTTACATAACCTAAACATTTGTATCCCTGTAATATGCTGAAATAAAAAAAAATTTAAAAATCCAAAGAAAATAAAAAGTGGAGACTTGAAAAAGTATTTGGCTTCCTATGCATGCATGCTAAGGAGAGCAGAAGAGAGGGCTGACTTCAATAAAGTAGACCATCATGAAACCAAAAAGGACAGAAGTAAGACAGACAGACAGACAAATACACAGAAGGACTAAAGTGATGCTTTTAGTTTTCTCCATAGTATTTTCATCCAAGTGCAGTTCACCTACCATTGGCAATGTCATCATCTTTGGTCCTTATTAAAATGCTAGGATTTGATTCAAGTTACCTGCATTTTTGAGCTGATCCCTGTATGATTCTTAAAATTTGAGAACTATAGTCAAGAGTTTGTTAATTTCTTAATGGAGAAAGATTTGTAAACACATGGCAAAGTAAAGTGACACATAATAACCCTGTAATTTATTTCCGTATGGTGTTAATTTGGTTATTCCAAGTTAATTGTTTTTATTGTTTTAAGTGTCTATATTTGAAGACTCCTTTCTTTTTTTTTTTTTTTTTCCATTTTTTTTTTCCACCTCTTGCATGAGAAGCAACCTTTCTTGTATTATAACACAGACACACATGAATGGCACAATCCCAATAACTGGTCATGATCTTGAAGCCCAAATGCTTTATTCAGTTTACCAGACCACTAGTTAAATAACACATAAGCCCCAGTTATACTGATGGGAAATTGAGCTCTATATTGCAAGACACCCTGGGGGCAGAGTGACCAGGACACACTTACCTCCAGTTTTGTTATAGAGCTCGCGACACAGTTTTTCGGCCATATGCTGCAGAGTTTCTGCAAGCTTCCTGTTCTGGGCTTGGAGAGATTGCAGCTGTCGGGAGAGGTTGCCCAGTCTCTCTTCCTTTTGAGAGATACTATCTTGCTGGGTGTTGGAGAGCTGGTAGAACTGAAAAACTAACCCAAGTGACCAGATCAGACTAGACAGATTATGTCTACATTCCTATTTCTACTTTTTTCCATATGGGGAAAACAAAACAGTATATTGCTTAAGATCTCAGGCTCTGAGATCTTATATTGCCTGTATTCAAGTTTGGATTTCAGTACATATATAATAAATTGTATCAACTAGGGTAAATTAATCTAAAAATGAAAAATATAGAGTCATAATAGCACTTCTTACCTTCAGGAATAAATTCCCAAACTAAATTTACAGCATAATAAATATTTTTTGTACACTCTCAAATTATTACTTAACATAAAACCACAAATCCATTTATTTATTGAAAATTGTATTGAGTATTGACAATGCACTATATATTGTAACTCATTCAGTTATTAAAACAATCTTACCATTTCTATATTTATTTATAGAATTGAAATTAAGATCAATGAGAACAAGTAAACTTCTTAATGTCATTTAACTGGAATATTTCAACATTTAGGTTTGAATTTCAGGTTTCTAAATCTAAATAGAGAAATGCCTCATGAACCACGAGAGTTGCTAAGAAGAATGGTTGCAAAACAATAGTTGTAGTAGAACGAAGTAAACATTTTGAGATCAGGAGGAAATAATAAATTGTTTTACAAATTTAAAAGCTACCAGCACAAATAAAAGTTTTAAAATTTCCTGTAAAAACTCAATTTTTGACATTAACACTTGCTCATCTATGTGAATTTTTGCCTTGAACCACCTTCCTCAACTGTTTGGGAAGCACTGCTGGGGCAAATTCCCCCACCAAATTCTTCTGGTGAGGAAAATTCACCCACTTCCTTTTTGAAGCCTTTGAACTTGTCCTTACTAGCTTGAAATTTAAAGATTTTTATAGATACATTCTCTGTTTGATTTCCACTAGTTTTTGAAAAATGACGCTATACTATCCTGGACTTCTTGAAAAATGTCACAGTAATTAAGGAGCCTATCTACCCTCCTTAAATTGATGATGTGGGATAAATAAAAGCTCTTCCCTCTGCACTAGCCTTTTAAGCCATGCATACTGACAGCACAAACACTGCCACTCTACTTTGTGGAACAGGATAAAGCTGAAGTGTGTATTTATTTAGAAATGATTCTTTTAAACACGGACACATAAACAGACAAAAATCCATATGATCTCAAACAGAATGTATAATTCTAGTTGGCAAGTGATTGTTGTATTTGAATGCTTCTTTTACTACTCATCATTTAAATAGTTGCCATTAAAAAAAAAAAAGATACAATGAATTATCTGTAGGCTCAGAAGTAAAAATTCATAGTAAGTGTTTCTCATCCTAGACAAACCTTGGAACCAGGATCCTCCCCCAAGTCAGAGCGCAGACTTACACACAAGCCCCAGGACTGCCAGGCCTATCAGCAGCACCAAGCACAAAGTCAGCAGGGTCAGGCCTACCGGACGCCAAGCTGAAGAGGGAGTCCCGTGCTCTGCAGAGAACGGAAGAGAAAGCAGAGTTTCATTTTTTCTTCCTCTTAGATTTCAGTCGGCAGCAAGCAACAGGAGTAATTACTGGACAGAACAAATTACACAGGACAACGATAACCAAGGCTACACAACTTATCCTCTGTTCTCAGAAACATCATCATAAGGCTCAATGCTGAGCCTCACTCAACACAGCTAGATTCTTTCACAAGCCCCACTCATTTCTATCCCCGCCTTAGTTCTACTTTGCCCTGAATCACATTATGCATTCCCATTGTCTTTGCATGGCTGTTTATATAACCTGTTTGTCAAAATTCTAATGATGAATTGCTTGAGTTAAGATGGGGGATGGGTTTGCTATCTACATGCAATGTTATAACACAGTCAGGTTGGAAAGTAAACTACATTATACTGGGTTAATAAAAAAATCCATTTAATGAAATTTTATGGTTTGTAGGGCATGATTCATCGGGTCTCTTAAAGGAATTTAAGCAAAAAAAGGTCAGAGTTCAGTCCTTAAAAGACTCATGAAAATGTCTGAAATGGAGCCTGAGAATACCTGAACCTTAACAATGAATAACTTTCCACATCATCGGGGGAAAAAAATGAAATTAATTTGTCGTTACTCAGGCAAAGTACACCCCCCCTCAAGTTCCATATAAGCATCTTTAAAAGGAAGGCAAATTGCATATCAGTAATGGGACATGACCATTTATATTAATATACATCAAATGAATAAACAAACAACGTTCTTACAAAAGAGAGCTTCTTGGTCAAAAGTCCCTCTTTTGTAAGAACGTTGTTTGTTTATTCATTTGATTTATATTAATATTTCTCTAGGAATATGTTATAAATAATGTGATTAATTTATCAAAGATGTATCTAATAAATTATCTCAATTTTTGCACCTGTTAATTAATTTTAAAAATTGAGGCAAACATCCTTTCCTTGTGCAGCAATCCCACAAGTTTGACTTGTAATTGCAGAAGCTGCACTGTAAGTCAAGAGTAGACCCATCACCTGGTGAGGTCACCTTTCTGGGTCTGATGACCTGAGATATCTGACAAGGAAGACACTCAATCAGGTACAGGCAGCCTCTAGCATTGTGATAAAAATGAAACAGAGAGTAAAACTGTCAAAGAAACTCTGATCTCTTCATGACCTGTGAGTTCCACTTCACTGAAAATTCAGGTCAGTGGCTGGCCGTGGTGGCTCACGCCTATAATCCTAGCACTCTGGGAGGCCAAGGCGGGAGAATTGCTTGAGGTCAATAGTTCGAGACCAGCCTGAGCAAGACCCCATCTCTACTAAAAACAAAAAAATTAGGCAGGTGTCATGGCTTATGCCTATAATCCCAGCTACTCGGGAGGCTGAGGCAGGAGGATCACTTGAGCACGAGAGAGGCTGCAGTGAGCTATGATGATGCCATTGAACTCTACCCAGGGCAACAGAGCAAGATTCTATCTCAAAAAAAAAAAAAAAAAAAAGAATTCAAGTCAGGTTCTAAAATAGATTAAAGAAAAATAAATTATTTTCCTCTAGCAAGGTCCTCTACATAATACATTCTAGGCACAGAGATTTGTACTAAACATTATTTCCAAATGGGGAACTAATCATATGGATGTTTCTAGATTTCAGAGATACAAGTGCATCTGTGGTCACCACCAGGGTGACTTTACTTTTCCACATATCTCTTATGACAATTAACCACTTCAGGACCAGCGTCAACTATAGTTGATAGCCACAGAAGAACGTGCACAGTGACTTTAGCCGACAGCCATGATGTGACTCTTCTAATTTTTCATTTATCAAAATAAAATTGTGAACATTTAAAAATAACGTAATGAAAACATATGTGTATATGTTACCTATTCTGATTTACATTACAAGTAAAGCTGCCTGTAAAGTAAAACAAGCTTTCAGGGCTTTAAAGCTGTCCTCATCACACAAGAGCAAAAGGGATGCGTTGTCAATGCACAGCACAGTCTCTCGTGCGGACTGTGGGCAAGGTTTCGTGGCTGGTGAGCGCTGAACCAAAGTGGTTAAATACATTACATGATCTTATTTATTTCTTTTGGCTTGTTTCTGTCTTACTCTAGCAGAAAGTAAGTTCCTTCTTGGGAAAGACTGTTATCTATTTAACCACTATTGTAGCCCAGCACCTAGAGTAGCAGTTTAAATAAGTTCAATTAAAGTTGAATGAGTGCATATGTCCATTATATATAAATATCTGTGTTACATGCCTAGCTACTGCTACTCAAACCTATTCATATTAATGCATGCCTCCGAAGGCATATTTTGAAAATCCTACTCATTTTTACAATTAATATTTCCCTTGACAAAATAAGAAATAAGAAGGTAAAGGGAAAAAAACTATAGAAATTAACCAAACTATTATCCCTTTAAAAATCTGCTTCCTGCTGCATAATACTGGGGACATGGGAGGTGTTGATTTTTAGCTTGAAGGACCAAAAAAGATTGAACATATACTCTTACTGTGAAGTGAGGGCCTGGACTTTAGAACATTTTTCAGTAATAATTATATCCATTAAAAGAACAAATACAGAAGCCTTCCTGAGATTAACTCTAGGACAGAGAAAGAAAGAACTATAGTACATCTTCTGCTAAAGAATCAAAATTTATCTCCCAAGGAATCATCTTTCCCCGATCAAATTTTCACATTTGGAACTTTTTCTTCTCTCTTTCTCCCTTACTCAATACTCACAATCCCTCTGTTTTATCTAAAGAAACAGAGAAACATTATCTTAAGGAGTTCATTTCCCAGGAAACCAAGCTTCCACAGTGGAAAGACGTGAAGTTGAATGTTTCACTTTTTCTTTTTCTTTGATGTTATTTTTCCCTCTAGGTGTTTTTCTTCTAACTATGAGTCTAATGTTTCTGAGTTTGATTCCAAGTGTTCCTAATCATACCGAGGCTTCTCTCTAGGGACCACCCCCACCCAAACACGAGACAGATTTTCACAAAAATAAGCTGCCTGGGAGGTGCTTGAGTTTGGTTTGGCTTTATTGTGGTTTTATTTTTTGGAAGAGAACCCTTGTGTTGTCTCCTTAGGCATGTTTAGAAAGAGGTGTGGACAGCCTAAGGAATGGTATAAACATCCCTAGGAATAATAAGATATATATAGAAAAATATAGCTCTTTCCTGTATCCTCTTACTATATCCATATTATAAAAGGCTAGAGTGCTAGGGTCAAGTTTTGAATACAAATTCCTTTGTAGTTATATGAAACTTCGTGAATGAAAAGAGTTGTCATACTTGAGCAGTTAGTCTTCATTAGACATCAGAAAGGAAAAACTGTATTCCACCAAGCCCAGGGCCCACAACGAATTTAGTAGATATTACCAAATGGTCTACTAGTATGCTTCTGAAATGCAAAGAATCTTAAAAGCTGCAAGAATACAGAGTTTAAATAATTTTCACAATGCAAACTAGAGGTAGAGCCAGGATTAAACTGCCATGCTTAACACTGAACTTTGCATACTTCCCTATGAACCAGGAGTCACAGAGAAATGGGGGCAAAACTGGTGATGTTATACATATTTCAGAAAATATTTCTTTGATCCTTAGATCACTGTACTTTTCACAATTTTTAAATAATGAGATATTGCTAACTTATAGTTCATGTCTATATATTGTTGATATATTTTTTAATTTAAATGGCTTTTCAGCAACTTCTCTTTGTTTCCTTAATCATTACATATGGTACATAGCATACACCCTTATGTGAACCTGTCTGAATTCAGTAGATAGAGGCTGCTTTTTCTGTTTTCATGAAAATACAGGTTTACTTTCTCTTATGAATCTATTAATATGTCAAGTATTGCTATTTTAATTTACTCTAAAGGGGTATTATCCTTCCTATTATTTGAAAAGAGTATACATCTAAGAACATACCAGCTATTTCTAAAATAGCACTGAGTTTCAAATTCACAGTAATTACAGTAAAATTTAGATGAGTCAATTTCATATTCCAATCAATGGATTTTATTTACTGAAATATAGTTCTAAATATTATCATTAATGATAAATGCTAAAATTCCTTGAGTTACTGAGATGAGTGTTTTATATGAGTGTTCTCATCTATCCTCACAAACACCCTATAAGGTAGAAATTATCATCCCATTTCACAGGTGGGGAACTGAGGCCTAGAGGGGTTAAACACCTTTCTCAGGAAAACACAGCTACTGATAATAGTAGTTACTGAGTTACTGAATATATACAATTTAAGTTCATCAGAAGTTCTCAAAAATTATTCAAGAGGGCAACTATTTTTAACCTTTACTTGGATAACAAACTTGAATTACTGAGGAGTTACTTAACTTGCCTAGGGTTGAATAGCTGGTAAGTAATGGAGCTACCCTAGCACACTGATGCCAGAGCTGAACACTTTTAATAATTTCCTATCCTCCCAACAAATCTCACAGTAATATTTAACCTTATATGACAGTCCCATCTGGCATTATAGAAAAGACTCCAGTGTCTGGCACTTACAACTTGTCACTTCTGTGTTGAGAAATATTTTAGTAACAGCCAGCTTAAATCATATTAATACATTTTTCACTCTACCAGCAAGATGAACTTTCTGAAATATAAATTTAATCGTGCCTCCTCTCTTCCATAAGGAGGTAAGTTTCCAAAGGCCCATCCCTTTTTAGTCAAAAGGGCTTCTTATAATAGGACCCCAGCTTATTTTTTAGCCCCGTCTGCTCAGATCTTCCTCAGATGTCTCCTCCCTTTGAGGACATACCATTCCTCAGCCCAATGGCCCTCCTTGACCCCTCATCTTATATCCTGCTGATGACCCCCAAAATTATCGATCCTGACCTACATCTAAACCAAAATGAGCACCTAGTCTTTATACTTAGAATTCTTATCTTTCTTACTTTCACTCCTAAACATTGTACCTCTTGACACATACACCAAGCTAGTTCTAGCCTTCCCTCTCTGCTTTGATCTCTGTACCAGTGGTCCTCACTATGACAGA